CTTATAAATGTAATGTATTATTATTATTATTATTATTATTATTATTATTAGGCCGTATCATTTTTTGCGTATTTGGAATGACATACATTAGTATTTGAAATTTTTGTTGATTTTTGTGAAAAAATGTACAAAATGACTTCATGTTGGTTCACTGCTTAGCAGGGTTGTGCCGTCCTTGAATGGTAAATTTAATGAATGTGAGCCCTTTATACTGGAAAAAAAAAATAACAGCAAGTGGTTATTTTTTAATTGTTCAAACACTTTGTTGCTGAAATATAGATCTTCTATATGTGCCCTGCGATAGCTATTATGAAAAATGACATGCGCGGATTTTGTCCATATTCAAAATGCCATTTTTGTCATACATCTGGTTCGGAAGTGCGTAGTCTTATGCGCCCTCCCCCACCCCCCGCCTCCCACCCCCATTGTGGTCCTTTCCGGCATTAAAATTGCCCATCCCCGATTTAGATGCAAGACTCTACAATGTAAGGATTTGTCATCATTTTTTCATGATCCTAAGAGGCTCTGATTCGTTCTGAATATATGAACACCACATCAGTGCCTTCTGCTAAGACTAATACATCATTTGTTGAACATCCTGTAGGAGTTTGTCATGATTGTGGTGTTTGGGTTGGAGTACATCATCCGCATCTGGTCGGCAGGATGCTGCTGTCGCTATAGAGGATGGCAGGGACGACTCCGCTTTGCCAGAAAGCCATTCTGCGTCATCGGTGAGTTATTACAGCCCCCACCTCCACTTCCCACAATAATGTAATTTCTCAGTCAGTCCTGCTGTTTCCTCTCCCATTTTTCGATGCCTGTTGCATCGCTTAGTCGCCTTATTTTTGTGTTCTGGGGCACGCTCACAATATAATGTTAGGTCATAAGTAATATTCCATTGCATGCGATTGTCCAGCGTTTGCACGTGTCATTGAGAGCCGTGGTCAAACCTCATAAGACAAGAATTCATTTACGTAATGAGCTTGCATCAATGGCCTTTTATTTTTCCAATATTTAGACACAAATCCCACTGCTGCCTCTTGGAAAGAACAGTTGGAAAGACTGATGGAAGGGGAATAAGGCTCATGGGTTACATCTGACCCCACTTTGTTCACGCTAACATCGATGTGCTTGTTTATGATGTTGCTGATCTCGGGAGAATTGTGGAAACAGACAAGCAGCAAATTGCAGTGTGCAACTGAACAAGACAGAGTGGGGAAGTTTAACTTCAACACTGCTGCTGTTGCGTCTCCTCACAAGGGTCGCGGGTGTGCTGGAGCTTAGCCCAGCTGACTTGGGGCAAGAGGCAGCCTGAACTGCTTGCCACCCCGTTGAAGTGACTTACGCATATATAGCAGATTTTTACAACCATACGGTGCACCGCATTAAGAGGCGCAGTGTCAGTTACGGGTGGTATTTCTGTTTTTAACACATACACAAGGCGCACTGCATTATTGGACACTGGCATGATAAAACGAGCGCGACCTTAAAAAGTACTTTTTGGGTGCCTAAAATATAGGTCTGGGCTTTATATGGTCAGGGATTGTGTCAAAGTCTTTCAACCAATAAATTCTTGATGACATGTGCTGCTGTTGCCTGTGTTACCCAAGCCAACAATTCCTTAGCGTACTTTGGCAAATACAAATGAAGGGAATCTAAAACATCTTTACCTAATGTCAAAAACTAACATTTGAATATTCAAATCTTTTTCTTGAGGACGAAATGTTTGAAACATTTCTCGGAGTGGTTCTGTTTTATTTGTGTTGAGAGTTGTCGGTTGAGGCAGAAGTAGAGCATGGGAAAATGTATGATACGTAATTACATTAACGGCTGTGACTTGAAGAATAAGGCGAATCACAGTTGCAGCCTGCCACTAACGTCAATGAGGCATTTGACACTGTTATCAAGATGGAAGAAGTCATGCGCGCCTGATCAAAACATATTACAGTAGTTAATTAACCACTAAGAAGTTTTCGTGGTCTGCATAACATGAAATAATGCAACATGCCACATGATATGAATGATTCAACCTGAAACTTTCTGGTCTGGCGAGCCAACCACAAATGAAGGATTGTACGGTTTAGGGCACCGGTTTAGAATGACACTCCACCACTCTGGAGTAGTAAATTTCAAACAAATCATGTAGCGCGATTGATTTGTGTGTTCAATTCTTGCTGTGTCCACTTCCTGTCAAACACAAATGTGATTCAGCTCGAGTTCAGTCCAAGTAAAAATCCTGAAACTATAGAGGTGCTGGTCGGCCCGGTGGTTGACTGGTTCGCACGTTGGCCTCACAGTGCAGAGGTGCAGGGTTCGATTCCAGCTCCGGCCTTCCTTTGTGGAGTTTGCATGTTCTCCCCATGCCTGCATGGGTTTTCTCTGGGTACTCAAAGTACACCAAATTCCAAAAACATGCATGGCAGGCTGATTGAAAACTCTAAATTGTCCCTAGGTGAAAGTGTGACCATGGATGGTTGTTCGTCTGTGTGCCCTGCAAGTGACTGACAATCAATTCAGGGTCTGCTGCCCGAAGACGGCTAGGATAGGCTCCAGCACGCTCCGCGACCCTTGTGAGGATAAGCGGAGCAGAAAATGGATGGATGGATGGATGGATGGATGGATGGATATAGGTGCTCATCAAAAAATTTGAATATCATGAAAAAGTTCATTTATTTCAGCAATACGATGCAAAAAGTGAAACTTGTGTAACGCATATATTCATTATACACAGACTGATACATTTCAATTGGTAATTTATTTCAATTTAGATTGAAAACTAACTTAAAAAAACCAAATTCACTCTCTCAGATAATTTGAATATTGTGAAAATTGCATGCGAGACATGGGTTTCAGCTGTCGCATTCCTTGTGTCAAGCCACTCTTGAAAAACAAAGAGCGTCGGAAGCCTGTGCTACAGACTGTACTGCTGTTGAGGAGGCATAGTCCAAAGTCATGTTCTCTGATGAAAGCAATTTTGCATTTCCTTTGGAAACCAAGGTCGCAGAGTCTGGAGGAAGCGAGGGAAGTCACAGAATCCATGTTGCTTGAGGTCCAGTGTCAAATTTCCACAGTTAGTCATGGTTTGGGGTGCCATGTCATCCGCTGGTGCTGGTTCTTTGTCCTGTCTGAAGTCCAAAGTCAACGCAGCCGTCTACCAGGAAATTTTAGAGCACTTGATGCTTCCTGCTGCTGACCAGTTATATGGGGATGCAGATTTCATTTTTCCACCAGGGTTTGGCGCCTGCATACAGTTGCCAAAGCTATGAGTACCTGGTGTAAGGACCGTCCTATTCCTGTTCTTGACTGGCCAGCAAACTCGCCTGACCTTAACCCCATAGCAAATCGATGGGGTTTGTGAAGAGGAAGATACAATATGCCAGACCCAGCATTACAAAAGAACTTAAGGCCACTATCACAGCAACCTGGGCTCTCATAACACCTGAGCAGTGCCACACACTGATCGACTCCATGCCACGTTGCATTGCTGTAGTAATTCAGGCAAAAGTCGCCCCAACTCAGTATTGAGTGCTGGACATGTACATACTTTTCCTATATATACTTTTCGCTTGGTGAACATTTCTCAAAGTCCTTTCTTTTTATGGTCTTCAGTATTAGACTTGCTGAGGTGAAAGTCTGCCTTCCGCCCAAAGTCAGCTGGGATAGGCTCCAGCAACTCCCCGTGAACCTGTTCAGCATAAGCGGTGTTGAAAATGGATGGACGGATCACCTACATTAAAACGAATTAACACTTGAAATGTATCTTTCTGTGTTGAATGAATTATTCATTCACAGGTTTCACTTTTTGAATAGTATTACTGAAATAAATCAACTTTTTCATATATTCTAATTGTTTGATGAGCACAACAACACTCCCTTGCTTAGTTTTTTCTACACAATGCACAATATCGAATGTGTTTTGTCTCGTAAGTACAAAACATCTTTTTGTTGTGGACCTTGCAGACATCATAGTGCTGATTGCATCAGTTGCTGTGGTGTCGGCTGGAAGCCAGGGCAACATCTTTGCCACGTCAGTCCTGCGTAGCCTTCGTTTCCTACAGATCCTGCGCATGGTGCGAATGGACCGAAGAGGGGGTACATGGAAGCTGCTAGGTTCTGTGGTCTACGCACACAGCAAGGTCGGCATGAGGATAACCACAAACTAATAAACGCATACGCACACTTTTCCTTGACTGTACAGTAATCCCTCATTTATCGCGAGGGCTACGTTCCAAAAAGAACCAGTGATAAGTGAAATCCGTGAAGTAGTGAACTTTATTTTTTTTACAGTTATTATACAATACTTAACTATATATACAATGCAATTAAAGACCAAAACCTGTTTTCAGGCCCAATTACCAAAAAAAATAAATGTTTTCAACAAATAACTATAATAGTTTTTGGAAATACTGTACTGTCGACACGCGGCGCCTCCGACACGTTCTGATTTAAAGGGTTAAAAGCATTAAAAAAAACTGCCCTGAAAAACAAACAGCGAAGCCATGGAAAGTGAACCGCGTTAGAGCGAGGTATCACTGTATACCAAAACAGAACAATGTCAATTCAGCGGTATTCAAGTACAGTCAGATTTCGACTGCAGTACAGTATATGCATTAGGCCAGTGGTCCCCAAATGTTTTTGCACCTTATAAATGTACTTTGTGCACTTCGATCTCATACACGGACTCCAGTGAGTCCGTTTTTGCTTCTGCAGCATCAAAGACAATGCACCACTTGCGCACTACATTTAAAGGGAATGAGAGGAGCCGGTTCCATTGGTGGCCGGCTTTGTTCACGCCCACAACGTTGCACACCACACACAATCCCAAAAGAAACAAAACTCCACTCAGGCGTAGAGTTCGACTGCGATTTGTGCTACACTTGTGCCGGGCATCAAAATAGAGCCCTAAATTGTACCACTGTGCTCTGAATTTGCTCGTCCTTGCCCACAGGAACTGGTTACTGCTTGGTACATTGGTTTCTTGGTTCTCATCTTCTCTTCATTCCTTGTCTACCTTGTGGAGAATAAGTTCAACAAAGAGTTTGCCACATATGCTGATGCCTTGTGGTGGGGCACGGTGAGTTCTGAGGACTATCTGTTGCCAGAGTTGAATAATGTCGTGCATTTTTTAAACTCCCAACAAGCTATCAATAGTTCCATAAATAGTGAATCATTTGCCTTTGCTTTTTACCCACCTCGATAATGTATAGTAAGTCTTTTCACCAAGATGCCAGCATGATATTTTACTAAAACGTCCTCATGTTGCTTTTTTTGTTGTTTTTGGAAAAGAGGACTACAAAGCATTCCACTTAGTGTAACAACCAATTTTCAGACTGGAACTGTATTTGTTTTGTAAATCAGGAGCTTCTTTTCACAGATCACTCTGACAACCATTGGCTATGGGGACAAGACACCAAAGACATGGACAGGAAGGATGTTGTCTGCTGGGTTTGCACTGTTGGGGATCTCTTTCTTTGCCTTACCTGCAGTAAGTGCAGACCTTTCAAGACATTCTTTTTAATGACTGCTCCTACGGATCCCATCGATTTGGGTGTCATTTTTAATGAGCTCATGAAAGGCACTGTACTCTGGTGAAAACCTCAAGCAGGAGCTTCTGATGATTGATTTGCTTTGGACGGATGGATATTTGTGCTTCAGAAGGTGATAAAACGCCTGAGTGTCCATCTGCCTTACCGGGGTCAGTCCAGGCACATAATTGGCCTGAGAGGAAACATCCAGACCTTTGATGACATGTTACGCCGCGGAGATGTCTTTATAGATAAATCAAGATTTACAGGGTGAAGGAATGGCATTGATTTAACTGTAATAAGATGATGAGGAGAAGTAGACTAATAATCCACATGCTATAGGCAAAGGTCACATTTTAAAGCAATCTTGTATTGTGAGCCGTTAAAGGTCAATCTATGTTTAGCCTTGTCACCTGCAAAGTGACTGAATGGGTACAGAACAAAAGGAGACACACTCACTTGAAGGGATCGTAAAAACTCAACAGGGCACCTTTCACATGTTCTATCTTTAATTGAAATCGTGACAAATTATAGTGATACTTAAGTGAAAGCATTGGTTCACAAATTTCCTTCCTTCCACACTAGGGTATTCTGGGCTCAGGTTTTGCTCTGAAGGTCCAAGAGCAGCACAGACAGAAGCACTTTGAAAAGAGGAGAAACCCTGCAGCTTACCTTATTCAGGTAAATTGAAGATGCGTACATCACATCTCTATGTGGCCAACATGAAAGTTGCTGTGATGCAAAACAGCATACCAGTATTATCATTTTCCATCCTCCCTTTAACTCCTGTGCACTCTTGTTATTCATCACACAATTTGATGTAAAAAAAATAAAATAAATAAAAAAATCTCCTAGCTTGTCATTTCACTGTATTAATCTGGGAGGTCGTTCCATTCTTCCCCCATCGTTGGCATCGTGGAATATGTCATTATCATTCCCTGTCTTGTCTGCTGCACATATTTCCTCCTTTTCTAGCCTCCCCAAAAGTGCATTTCATTTTCATCCCTGTATTCTTTGACAATTTCACATTGCCTTGTACGACACAGTATTTCCCCCCTTTTTTCATCCAACACCTCAGACTTTGCCCTCCCGCTTCTTCTTCAATCCTCTTCCACTGCTGCACGCCCCCTCTTTGCCATCCCATATTCCTGCCATGTTTAATTCCTCCTTTTCCTGCCGTCATTGTGTCATCCTGTCCATTCACATGTTGTACCAGGCTGCGTGGCGTTATTACTCCACAGACAGCGCCAGGCCATACCTGGAGGCCACATGGCGGCACTATGAGAGCCTCCTGCCTTCCCACAGGCATGTATTCATGCCTGACCTCCACTCCAAGCCAAGACGTGTGACACCCCTGTGTTAGTGTTTTCACTAATCAGCTTTCTATTTGTTTTTTTGTCTTTTCCATCTCCCTCATCTTTTTTCTCTCCACTTCCCGTTTTTAAATTCTGTTCTTTTATATTTATGAGTCTTCTCTCTCTGTACTTTTTCCTCCTTCTTCTTCTTCTTCTTCTTCTTCTTGGTTTTGTGTATTCTGCATGCAGTGTGTTTGGCGTAGTTATGCAGCTGATGAGCACTCGGTTTCCATTGCTACCTGGAAGCCTCACTTGAAAGCGTTGCATACCTGCAGCCCTACAAAGTAGGTACAATTACGGCAACTGTTGCCTGTATTTGGTCACTTGTCTTTTTCTGTACATGTCCTGTAAAAAAAAAAAAAAAAATGAACTGCCCTTAGAGTTGCCCGATTCAACCCTCACAATTTACAGCTTCTATGTAAATCCAGTCACATGAGAGCTGAATAGACACCATTTTGGAATCAAAACAGCAATTGTAGCATTTATTTTCCATGATGCATGCAATTATCAAGCCAATCAGACTTTCCGTCATTTAGCAGGTGGCCCTGAGCTGTGAGTAATGCAGAGATCAATTGCTGTCATGGCTTGACCTGCATGAGTCGACTAAATTAAGTGCAGTCAGCCATTTGACTTCACGACTCAGCTACCTCTAGATTAGTGGTTCTTAACCTTGTTGGAGGGACCGAGCCCAACCAGTTCATATGCACATTCACCAAACCCTTCATTAGTGAAAAATAAAAATATGATTTTTTTTTTTACAAATTCAAGACATTAAAAATGCATTTATTAAAAACAGAAAAAAGTAAACACAATTAGTATAAGGATAAAGTATACATTTTTTAAATTTTCCCGATAATGAACTAGCCAGTGATGGCCAAGCGGGCGTGTCATAACTAATTGACATGTTGAGTCGGGTGTGTCTTAACTTCCATGGCAGAGGCTCTGTTGAACCCCTGAGACTGATTCACCAAACCCCTAGGGTTCGATAAAACCCAGGTTAAGAACCACTGCTCTAGATTTTTAATAGCTGTAACCACATTTTACATTGCAGAGGAAAAAACACTGATTTAAAACATACATTAATTGCAAACATGTTTTTTTTTTCAATTTGCCATCATAGCATTATTCAATGTTGAAATCCAAATCGAAGCAACTGCGCACTTGATATGGCCCTGATTACAGTCCCACAATGGCTTAATGATGCAGACTGAAAGCGGGGGAACCCCCTCTTCAAGACAATTGCAAGCACAATACATCAGCACTTTAAAAGACACAAGTGATTAGATGAAAGGTGGATACTTGTTCTTTCCACCTCCCTGCCCCCCATACAAGTATTTCCATATAGTTTGCCTGGACACAACGGTTATGACTACAATGTTTGATGTGTGTTTAATATTTGAACCTCATATTCATTTTGATTCTAATTCACTTCACAAGGTGTCTTGTGGGGGATGTTTTGGCAAATCTTAGTTTGAGGAGTGGTTTTGTTTCAAAGGTTCATCCAGTTATAGACCCTGGATGTATGGGCCAAAATTATTAAACAACCACCCATTAACTTTTGACAATCATTATCAAGGAACACCCTTCCTTTAGTTCAAAAAAGGCAGAACAGTCAATCTGCAATAAGAGTCCAAGATAAAAAGCCAAAGTGAAACACAAACAACTTACTCAGAATTTAGGATGTATTGGTAATAAATGAACAAAAGTGCAAAATTAAACTTAACAAGTCCCTGAGTTTTGGTGTTCAAAATAAATTGTGTGAAAAATAATAAATAAAAATCATAAACTGTTAAGCGTGACGCTATGAAGTTGGCAACTGTATAACGCACACGAGTAAGTCAAAGTTCTATGTTGCCTGGATTGCATTCTGCAGGAAAAATAGACCTTATTAATGCACGCAGTAATAATAATAATCATCATCATAATCATAATAAGTTTCTATGTCAATAACAATAAGTAAATGTCTAAAATAAGTGGAAGCATCAAATACCATAACGGAGGAAGTCATGATGCCACCAAAACTGAGTTGGCAAATACATGTAAAATGTGCATTCATTTAAACATGCACAACCTTATAGAAATTACACTTTAGTGGGCATGTGAAGGGATGGACGTCTATGTAATTCAAAGATTAAAATTCTCTTTCAGCCATGCAGGAATTTAGTTAATAAATAAACATAGTTATTTTCAAACCAACACACTAATACTGTCTTAACCTTCAAAACATACACGTACTTCTAGAAATTGCATTTTAATGGGAATATGAGAGGATGGACGTGCAGGGAATTTAAAAGAGATGAGCACTCACGGATGAGCCATGCGGATGTTAAGTCAACAAATAAACACATACACTTAGACGACACTAATAATGCATTCCAGGCAAGAATATAAAGCTTATCAACGTATATATACTTTCAGAAATTGCATCTGAATATGCATATGAAAGTACCGTAGTAACATTGATGCAGTTCAGAATGTTCTGGAATCCATTAGTATCGGCGAGTACCAAGAATTTAAAAATAATACTGGTATTAGCCCGATACCGATACCTGGTCTCAGTACTTGCCCATCCCTAATAATTTATTTAAGAATCATTTAAATGGCAGTACAAGCTATAAAGGTGAACTTAATTTGACCTGTAAACTTTTGAATGCACATTTTCAAAATTTCAGTACATTTCGCACAACTTGTTCTCTCACAAGGAGCCCAAAGAACAAAATTCACAAGAGGCGTTTCAGCCATGAATCGACCGACATTTCCAAGGATTTCTGCTTCTTTGCCTCTCTATGACTCTTCCAGCGTCTGCATCTGTTACAAGCTGCCGATGACACTGTGTGATACTCTAAGCTCAGTGGAGACTTTTTCGTTCAACAACATTCTGTTGAAAGCCTGGGCAAGGTACTGTTGATTGTGTGTCGTCATGGGCTCATGATGTCAAAATGTGAACAGAATTGTGAAGAGGATCGGTCAAATACTGATGCTGAGTGAAGCAGGAAATAAGTCTCTTGGTTGATTTGCATATAAAACACCTCTTGTGAATTTTGGCTTCAGCTCCTTGTTAAACAAACAAAACAAACAAAAAAACAAAAAACAAAGCAAGCTGTCCACAAAGTACTGAAACACAGAACACTTGGACATGCGCATTGCCAAGTTTGGAGAAGGTGCCCTGGGAAGACTGTAGCGCATTTAGGGTAGAATTTCACCCAAAAGCGAACCAACTTTTGTGAGTAGGGTATGTATGCATGAGTGTGTGTGCATATATATATATATATATATATATATATATATGTTGGTATCTATGTCTGTTCGTCTCCCCAGGAATCTGCATAGAAAAAAAGGTGATTCTGCAAAGAAGAATTGGGATTCTGCGCAGAAAAATTGTTGAACCCGCGGCTTGAAAGTTGATTTTCCCAACGCATTATATGAAACAACCTCAAATGAGCAGGAATAAAGCTAATTAATGTAATAAAGAAGTAAAAATTCTCTTAAGAAATTATTTTTAAAACCAAAAAAAAAAAAAAATTGGGGAAACATTGTGGATTTCAAATAATCAACATCGATATTCTCTTTGTTCTTCTTGGGCAAATTTATTTGCATTACTTATAAAATGCAAAGCCGTCGAGTGGTTAGCACGTTGACTTCACAGTGCAGAGGTCCGGGGTTCAATTCCAGCTCCGGCCTTCCTGTGTGGAGTTTGCATGTTTGCTATATGCCTGCGTGGATTTCCCCCGGGTCCTCCGATTTCCTCCCACATTCCGAAAACATGCATGGCAGGCTGATTGAACACTCCAAATTGTCCCTAGGTGTGAGTGTGAGAGCAAATCCTTGTTTGTTTCTGTGTGCCCTGCGATTGGCTGGCAACCGGTTCAGGGTTTCCCCTGCCTACTGCCCCAAGACAGCTGTGATAGGCTCCAGCACCCCCCGCGACCCTAGTGAGGATCAAGCGGTTCGGAAAATGAATGAATGAATGAATAAAATTCATTCAAACATTTCACAATACTGGGTTTGAGGTGGAACAAGTGATATCGAAGCAAAGATTTAAACAAAGTGTAAAATATCCACTTGACCTGGATATCGTAAACATACTGCATACAGCAAAAAAAAAACGAAAGTGCAACACATTGCATTTAACTATGTGGGAACATAGTTAACAGAACAAGTGTCAAGCATTTAAGGACACGATGAAGTGTCGAAGTGTAAGCTATTGACTTGACTATGGGATATTGTGGACATTACCGATCCAATCAGAAAAAAAAACGTAAACAAACGTTCCGACGATCATGTGGTAAAAAAAACTAGCATTTTATTTAAAGCAGCCCAGCTCTGAGTCTTGGGTGCCGTCCGTCTATCTGACTGCGACATCTAGCGGCCGGGATGAAAAAATACATGTGAATATATTCGTCCGCCGGGGACTTTGAAATATTAAGTAAAATCTGCGGAAACCTCGGGGGACCAGTAGTGCGTGTATGGATGTATGTAAGTATGATACATTGCTAATTGTGCAGGGTTAAAACAAGCGTTATGATATTTTGAATACTATTAATGTCATTAGAAATAAATGATAAATAAAAGTCGATTTCATACTAAAGAGGGTCAAACCCGAAATGCATGTGATAATGTGAGTGCAATTGCTGAAATGGATATGAACAAAGAATTTTGTAACTCATGAATATTCATCGCAATGCTCACAATTATATCTAATACAATTTCTGTCTTTTTCCTCAACGGTCAACTGACAACTCCAGAAAAGAGCAAGGAGAACCAACTACAAGGTTTGTGATGAAAAACCCTTTTTTTTTTTTTTTTTTGCCGTCTCCTCGGAAAGAATTAGCATCATGCAGAAAAAAAAAAAGGAAAAACATGGCTTGAATGTAACTAATACTGTGCCTTCCAGTTCCACAGCATATGTGTTCCAAATCAACTGAGTTTCAAGATGCAAAGTCATCATACAGTATATGCCCTGGTAGAAATGTAGGTGGCTACATACATAAATGTTGCATTGTTTACATTGGTGAACAAGTAAAAACATGTTTCCAGAGTAGCCATTTTGGAACACCTCCTAATTTTGTCTCGTTTTACTTTGCGTCTCTGGCTGAGATGAGCCTAAAACTCAAGGCAGTCAACATTTAATAAAAATGTCACTGTTCTTTCAATACAATGCCTGTAGTACACGTGAAGAATTGTGTCATTGTAGCCCATGTGTCAAATTCTACATTGCTTTGTGATGTCACATGAACGGAATGCTCAGGCCAATTCACACTTGGGTCAGTATGGGGATGTGTGCACCTCTTTTCTTTTTCCTGTCTATTCTGTTCATATTTTGGTCGGAATGACAACAATAAGGCTGTGTGCTTTATGTTTTGTCTGTAACACACGATAACTGATTTGTGCCAAACTTAACCTTTTCATGCTCCCTGTAACCTGATTACATGATTAGCTGTCCACTGTAGCAACCGCTGTTCCCGAAAGGTTTAAACTGATAATCACGATCATCATCACAATCTTATTTTGGTTGTCAGTCTAAAACAAAGACTACTTGTTTTCTATCCGAAAGCCTGCATAAGCATCCCCTTGTGAAATTTTTGACCAAAGCCTTTTGATTTTATGCGCTGTCAGATTTTAAATATCAGTTTTAATCATACATGGGTGGTGTCGATACTTGATGTGGTTGAACCAACGTCGGGAAACTGCAGAAGTGAAATTTAAATTAACAGTGAGTAATTTGTGAAGTTGACAGGTCACTCAAGTCAACATGAGACACCTGGGACGTCATGTATAGCCCCACTCGTACATCGAACAGTCAACCAAATGGAACATTGAACATATTCTGTGTAAAACTCATTGCAGTGCTGCCTTTGTTGTTATCGAGCCTCATGTACCTTTTCAAGAGTTAGCCTTTTGTCCATCACATTCAGTAGTTAAAAAAAAAAAAACATCGGTAAGAAATACAAACATAACTCAGTAAAATTATGAAGCTTTTCTTCTCATCTGCTGTCTGCAGCCAGATTGGCACTGCAAATGAAAATGTCCTCCCTTGCCTTACCTAGATAAATAAAGGTGAAATAAATTAACAAATAAATTAACAAAAAAAATCATACAGAGCAAGTGAGAGCCATGTAACATCATTTCGTTTGCTGTACTGTGTTTGTGATAGGGTTGTTTTTTTTTTGTCGTTTCAGGCCAATGCAACCTGAACAATCACATGTTGTTACTCTCAGCGTTGTATAATAAGTCAAATGGGTTACAGCACACAAGCATTTCAAATGGCAATTAAATGGCTGAGGCAAAAAGGTTTACATTTTGATTGATGTTGGCTACATTTTAAAAAAAAACATTCCCGTCAATCTAAAACAGTGGTCATCAATCTTTTTGGAAGTGAGAGCTACTTCTTGGGAACTGATTCATGCAAAGGGCCATGACTTAAGAAATAACACATTTTGGGTGTAAATCATCTCCTCATCTCATATATATACCAGAGCTGTCAAACGATTAAAATATTTAATCTAATTAAAAATGCAACTGTCATAATTAACTCAAATTCACAAAAAAAAATTGTGATTACTCACGCATTTTTTTTCTTTTTTTCCCCCCATTTTAATGCTCTCATCAACATGGAATCATGAATCAATTTTCTACGTGCAAAATGCAAATATTTACTGAAATAACAATTTCGATTTTCAATTTTACATGAACATTTGTCACTTGGAGCAGTTATTCACACATAATCTCTCACACAATATTACTGTCCATCAACAACAGTGAAAAAATATTTTGTCACACAACAGCTGCTTTAACAGCTCTTGTTAGGGAATCAAAACAGAGCAATATAACATTATAAAGTGCACATCTAAGGTAAACTAGTACTCAGCCTATAGTGGATTGAAGCCATGGTTGCATACTTCGTTTTTCTCAAGTTTGCTTTGAACACAGCAGTCAGGCTATGTTGATTCTGGAGGTCCTTCTTGCGTGGAAGTTTCCCTTTGGTTTTGTGGAGACATCATTTCGGATGACTACACTTGGTTCGATGACAACACTGGAGACGTTTTATTTTCAGTGTGGTCGCTAGGTCGCTACCACTGCACCGCTGAACTCTCGCCGTGCCTCAGCACACCGTCACTGTCAGACGAACACAGAGAAGCTCCACCCGCTTTATTTATATGG